AACTAAACAAGAACCAATCGCCCAACAAATATGCAGGAGAAAGTAGATTGGAATGGATCGGTCACTCGCTGAGGAGAACGCTGGGTGACATCGCGCGTCAAGCCCTCGAGTGGAACCCGAAAGGGAAGCGGCGTGTGGGACGTCAGTCCAAGGGTGACATGGAGGAGATCGTGTGTGTGAAGAGGAGTTGAAAGAATATGGACTAGCATGGATGCAGGCGAAAAGTACAGCAGAAGGAATACAGAAGTGGCAAGTGGAGACGTGCAGTTGAAGCCCTATGTTCCACTAGGAACCCAAGGGAGCAATAATAATAATAATGTCCTCTCCTATTTGTCGTCATCATTGGGGTAGTAGAATTTTTCAGAAATTGGGGTGAACAGGTGTTGAATCATTCCTATTACTGCTGATTGACAATTGCCTCTCAGTGGTATAACTTAATGCGCTAGTGGTTAAATGCTGAGAAAAGTATTTTTGCAACTACGTCAAAAAGCATGTGTTTATATATTGATATAATTACTCGGAAGTGGCTTTAAAAGTAAGAGATTAAAAGTTGTAAATTACCCAGTATTAAACGGAACAAAGATAGAAGTTTGATGATAAGGTTAAAATTGCTATTTAACAAGTGTGTCGAGAGGGTGTCAAAATGTACAACAGGGAACATTTGAGAGTGATGTAATAGTGAATTATTTATTAAAGCACAAGCAAACTAAAAGTAAAATCAAAAATTTAAAAAAAACTCGAAATGTTTACAGGGGAACGACTAGTGAAGAGATTAAGACCAAGGTGGAATAAGATGTTACAACAGAAGACAAGGGCCAGCACGTATTTCATGTAGATTATTATAGCTTATTCAAACAGACAAACACAGTCTTCCGATTAGTTGTTTCTGGTTTCTCGGAAAGTTAAGCCATCCATTTGCGAATCTTATTTGCCCACTTTAAGTCTGCTGTGATTGGCTGTTGAATCAGTCTTGTTGATATTTTCTCACGGCCAATATTAGTGATCTAGACATTGACGTAAATTAATGCCTACCAATTGGCTAGCAGCCTGCTCTCACCACAAAGAGACTGGACAAACCTTTTGTCTGTATACAGAGCTCGGGGTTGTATTGACGAAAAGCCAACGCCTCCGCACCCTACACGAAAGCTGAAACCTGACACTCTTTATAACAACTGGCCCTCACCTTGTAGATGATTCTGAAAGACGACTCTGGTGGGGCTACGTGGCCTGAGTACACCAAATGCTCGAGAATCGAGCTAGTAATTGTCTTGCATTGTCCTTTTGCTAACCTAGCGTGTCAGTTAATGTTCAGAGATGCGTTTGGAAAGTGTTCGCCAAGTTGTTCGGTCAATATACCTAGCTTAATACGAGCAGGTGAATTTATAAACACACACACACATTGAGGTGGCCTGTCGAAAGCGACAGTTTATCGTTTCACACATCCATTGATCATTTGTCGGCTGTATAAACTGATACGTAGCTCAGCCTCAAAGAAGGCTTTTCTCTTAACTTTATGTTTTTTTCGATAAATCTTGGAGGATATCCATCCTCTATGAGGACTTGTCGGAGTTACCCCAGTTCCCCATCGATTGTATCACTGGATCATATTCTTCTTAATCTTCAGGATAAGGAGTGGATCAGGTTTCTCTTTCTTCTCAAAGGGACCCAGCTATGGAAATTTGTGTTCTGGCCATTCCATGCTGGTTTCCTTGCTGTAGATCGATCTTTGAAGAGAACCATCAGATCTCCTTTCTAGAAAATCACCCAGGAAACGGAATTCCGAGTTAATCTCTGATTCCGACGTGAACTTGATAGCATGATGGCAGCTGCTGAACTCTTTAGTTATCAATTTGATGTTGGTATTGTCGTCACATATGATGAAAGTATCATCCATGTATCTTTGGTACAGATGGAAACTATTGATAGTAGTCCGTAAAATACTATACTTCAAACTAGCTAAGAAGCAGTCTGCAAGTAAAGGACCCAATGGTGACCCCATTGCCATTCCATCTCTTTGTCTATAAATCGTATTGTTGAACTTGAATTGGACATTTAAAGTGTACCTCAATAGTAGTTCCTTTAAGTAGTGGATCGGAACACACACGTCTACAACATTATTATCCTCATTAAATTTGTATATAAAGCAAATATTTTCAGAGAGGGGAACATTGGTGAAAAGGGAAGTAATATCCATGGATGGATATCATTTTCTTTCCAGATACATTAGCATCACATATTGAATCAACGAATTCAAACGAATCAGAAACACTATGCTTGCAGAGGTTATTTCTGATAGGTAGCAGGATGTTTGCGAGCCATTTGGCAGTAGCATGACATGGAGAATTTGTCATATCCAAGATTGGACGTAATCTCTTCACTAGTCGTTCCCCTGTAAAACAATTTGATTTTTCTCTTCTTTTCTAATTTCACTTCTAGTTTACTTTTGCTTTAATAATTAACTTACTATTATATCACTCTCAAATGTTCCCTGTTGTACACCTGTTCACACCCTCTCGACACACTTGTTAAATTGACACTCAACTACCACCTTTATTCTCACTACTCAATAGCAATTTTAACCTTATCATCAAACTTCCATCTTTGTTCCGTTTAGTACCGGGTAATTCACAACTCTTAATTTTCACTTCTAAAGCCACTTATGATCATGTATATCAATTATGTCACCCCCCTATTACTAAATAATAGACCACTATACATTTTTCTAAGTATAAATACAACTGTACAGCCAGCCTGTGAAGGAACATAGTTTCGTCGATACAAAAAGAAAGTTTCTTCGCTGAATTTGTCCTTCACTTTTTTTCATGTATTATTATTTATTATTATTTTTTCCTTCGCGATCTCAGTGGAACATAGGGCCTCAAGTTAGTAGCTTGAAGTTTCTGTAGCAGTGATGTTTAATTTTACAGGATGGAGTTGCTAGCCTCATGCCCGACCTTTCCTCTTTACCGGCATTATTTCTGGCTTAGCGAGGTAAAGGAATGCGTCGGTGGCAGGGGATCGAACCCCGGACCATGTGCATGGTCGGTGAGCGTCCTAACCGCTGTACCACCAACGCACATTTTTTTCATAAATCAATGGGTATTTTCGGTGATTTAAATAATAATAATAATAATCAGTTTTCCCATTTCTGGAATCAGGGAGACGGAATGACGAGAGTTGGTGTGGTGTTTCTTTTCACTTTAGATTGTGTGTGTGTGAAGAGAACTGAGAGAATTTATGGACAGTCACGGATCTAGCTAAAGAGATTACACAAAAAACAGCATGAAATTAGAATGTGTGATTGAAGCCTTTTGTTCTATTTGAAGCTGAAGGGTATAAATAATAATAACAGCTTTATTCCAAACAGTATTTCTGGTACAGGTTTGGAATTTTCAGCGTGCATTACAATATATATATATTGCTACTAATTATTTACCTCATAAATTTTATAAGACTTTTAAAATCAAAAAGCAACACCCAAAAATATCGATAAATAAAAAATAATAATAATAAAAACAACAGCGTTGCGTTTACATTTTAAACAATGCACCACAGGATATGAAGTATAAAATTGGTGCGTAATAGAAGATGAGAACAACAGTGTAATAGTAACGAAGAAAGGAAAGCCAAAACTAATGGGACTATTTGTTAGAGTGCCGCAGTAAGTTTAATCGTGTCATACCTAACGGATTTCTCATCATGCACATAACAGCTGTGGCAGATAAGGTATTGTGAAGCTTTTGTACTTGGTGGTCCTAGCATATAGCCTCTTATATCTGTTTCTAGTTCTACCAGATGAAATGCAAGGAGACAGCTGCGTATAGAGAGGATTCTCGGGGTCTGACAATATAGTATTCGCTAGTTTCTTACATGATATTATATATCTATCCACAATAGTGTTAACCAGTTAGTTGGTTTAACAATATCCCACTTGCCCTCCCTACTAACGGCTTTTAGTGCCTGCCCTTCTCAGCGAAGCAAGGTCTTTCTTAAGTAGTCCAGGAAAGACTAATGGGAAGCAGTAAAGGAGGATGGGTAGAATACAAGAATTGACAAACTGAGAAAGCAAAGACTGTTTTATACCAGACTGCCTTAACTTCCTACCGTAGAACGTTAAGCGAAACATCTTTCTAGTAACTAACAAGATGTGGGAGGGCCAGGAAAGATCGGTGGAAAAACTCAGCCCAAGGTACTTGACATTAGATGTATTTTCAACCTCTATGCCGTCAATGATAGTGGGGCCATGTGAGCTAGCTAGTTGTTGTAGGCCACGTTTACGTCTGAAAGTGAAATTGACTACCTGACATTTAGACGGATTTAGCTTAAGACCGTTTGAAGAGGACGACTGACTAATTTCCGACAGAAAGTTACTTAATTTGGAACAATCTGACTGAGAGTTAACAGGAATAGAAACAGAGAGGTCATCGGCATCCTAAAAAAATGGCTACATCAGAATGAGGCAAGTCATGTAAGAAAAAAGACAAGAGAAAGGGAGAGAGAACAGCAGCTTGAGGAACACTAGCTAAAGTAAGTGAGGTAGTGGAGGACTTTCCATTGTAGACGGTGTACTGCTTCCTATCAGCAGAATAGGAATGCAACCACTTATTTGTTCAGCTCTCAGCCTGTGTTGCAGGAAGCCTACTTAGCAGGAGAGAACTAGGTACAGGGTCAAATGCAGATGTGTAATAATAATAATAATGTAATCGATCGACTGAATTCGTGTAGAGGTATCTTCTGTTTTAACATTTATTAAACGATGAGCTATGGACTTAATCACAGTTTGATATGAACTGTGATCAAGATTTATCCAAATAGTTGCAAGATAATTGGGCGCCGAGTGAGAAGTAGACATTTCCTCAGTGATCTGCATATATATATATATATATATATATATATATATATATATATATATATATATATATATATATATATAATATTTATATATTAGAAGACTATTTAACTAATTTACATTTTATTTACAATTTAAAATTTTCTTACAGATAGATGATGATTTAATGCCATTTCGTCGGAAAGCATTTATGGACAAGGTATCACGCCTACAAAATCCAGAGCATGTTAAAGAAGTTCTTGGAACTAAATGTGCCCGTGATGCCTATTCTGATCGACGGATACGTTCGATTGAGCGACTATCTGGTACAGAAGTACATTTAAGTGATTTGAATCCTGCCATGACATGTATTAAAGGCTTGCCGAGAAGACGTTTAACCATAGCTGGACCATCATTTATCAATATCTGTTGTGCATTACATTTATTTGAAGACCTGTTACCAAGTGCAATAAAAGGTGCTATATTCCCCTATCGATTACCAGAAGGTTCATCAACACGCTTTCAAGCTGGTAGACGAATGAGTTCAGTATACCATTGGATTTATGGAAGGCCGAATGGTTCAGTTTACTTGAGAAAACAACTAGACGATAAGGGGGGTTGGCGAAGCTTTCTTCCTCCACGTAAAGGTATTAGTGCTGAAAGAATATAAACTGTAAGTCTTGTTATCACTAGTGATGATTATGATGATGATAATAGTAATAATTACGCATATTAAATTGTATTTCTACCATTTGCTCACTTATTTTTAGACTATTAGGCTGCCAATTTTAATTGCTGTTTCATTGACTGCAGTTCCTTTGTTCCATTAACTTACAAATTAAAATCAAAAATCACGTCTACGCGTGAGACATGATATTCGACTGACTGGCTCTCGACCAACGGGTGGGCGTACTGCTCACCACTATGCTCCATCCTCCTTTATGGCTAGCTAAGATAAGATAATAGCTTTATTCCAAATCAATACTTGTGATACAGAATGGAATTCTCAGCATTTTACTACAGTATTGCGCATCCAGTTAGTACATTAACAATAAATAAAGTTCTACATAGATTAAAAGTTATCTCAGTCAGTTTTGACAACAACATATTAGCATGTCGGTAGCAAAGCCAAAATTAAACAGAGTCTTTGAAGGTGTTAGAAAAGTAGATACTACTAGCATATTTACTGGCGTAAGCGATAGCAAAATGGTCGAGATATACAGAGTGTGAAAGAACGAACAAGAATGTTTCAAGTAGAGTTTGCAAGGAAGAGAGAAACAAAACGACACATAACAAAAAAAAGGTAGAGAGAAAACGTTGTACCTGTAAATGATGTGACTTGGAAAGACGAGATCCATTAGTTCTACTGACTATTTAATAAGTTAAAGGTTTCGCGCCTAATGCTTTTTTTATCGCACAGAACACGAGCTAGGTAGGGTATGGATGAGTTTTTGTACTTGCTAGTGCGGGCATATAGTGTCCTATATAGACATGGACATTTACAGTGGAAGACATGAAAAGTTTCTGTCCACTATAGTCTTAAAAGGCGTTGGTTAAATGTTTGTTCAAGCAATTTCATTCTCCGTATGCGTACTGGTGATACAATTGAAGATGAAAGACAACACCTCACTGGAATATTGTTAAATAACTATTATCAACTGAGATTTATTAGACGTTATGGAAGTGTCAACCATCATAAAGCTTTACTAATCCAATCAATTCCCCAAAAAGGGATGTTTACATATCCTTGCTGTTCAGAGGTGATCAACAAAGTCTAGTCACTAGACAAAGATTTAAGGCCGCAGTTAACAGAACCTGTTATGCAGCTAAACTTATCTTCATAGAGAAAACGAAAACTATGCTGTCCTGTAAACCCTCACATTATCCGAACGATAGTGTCACATCCCACTGTGTTTATCAATTTACATGTATGTGTGCAGGGAGACAGGTACATAGGGAGGACCCATCGGTCTCTGCAAGTTAGGGGGCTACAGAACACATTCCAAAGTGGCTGTAAAAACAACAAATGAAATCGCCAGATACAATTGACCCGGGAAATAGATGTCCAACATCATCTATAGCGAAGCATATTATAGAGACGGGTCATAAGGTTGATTTTAATAATGCCTTTAAGCCGATATATAAGACAAGGTCGGGTCACATACTTAAATTCATTGAAGCCTTAGCCATAAAAAGACTTGAACCTGTCTGTCTTATGCGTCCAAAAGTTATTTGTTATCACCATAAACCTGCCTTGGTAATCCAACTTAGAACCAAGGACCAATTTTACTTCATAATATTTTCAAACCCCTTCTTTGCATTGTTTCTCCTCTCTTTGTCTTTCTTACCCACACCCTTTGCGTCTCCTTGCCCATTATTTTGTGACCTTGACCTGTACACAATCTGACCTGTATTGTAATTATCCATGCCTTCTTACCTTCTATAAAAACTGTGTATGACAAGTACTGGTGTGTGTGTGATCAGAATGTTCGAAATGTGATGCACCAATACATTACACGTTTCAGATAAACTACGTCTTCTTATTGTGTGGTTGAAATTCATAAAGGGAACTAATCCCTTTAAATTCATTAAAAGTCTGTGATCATAGGTGCCTGCTTGCATTCTATCTCCTGTGTTAGTTGGTGGTATAATAAGGTGAGCAATAATGAGGTTAGGCATCTGTCGAGTGCTAGGTACGTAGGAGGCGAAATCAACCAATGAGGCTGTGAAATTACATCGACTGAGTGAAATGGTTAGGACATGTGTTACGAATGAATGCCTAGTCATCGCCTTCCTCGACAATGGACAATGTTATCTGGCTGACATAGGATTGGTCAGGCTGGGAAAGAGCTAGCCAGTGGTGGTCAAACCAAAACATGGCTTCACCAGTCAATGAATCCAAATCCACAACAGTCAGTCTAAGCCAGCCGGCCAGCCAGTCACGTAAGAAGGTGTAGACTTCCTGACTAGTTGGTTGGGGTCCTCGGGACGGTAAAAACCAATGAAGGCTGGGAACAATTGGTGATATGGCTGGCTCAAAGTGATCGTTCTCAATGGCTGGCTGGCTCAGATGGATCCACTCCTTGTGACTTATGATTTCCAATGAAACTGTATTGTTCTTCGTTCGTTATTACTATTCCTTTGTCTCACACCCCTGTTTACTGTCTCTCTATTATGCATTTCTTCTACTTTCTTCTCTTGCTTTTTGTGCTACACTATATGGAGTGGAGTGTGACGACTTGAACTGGTGCACATCGGTGAGAAGTTTTATGTTGAAAACAGACAGACAGTTACTCTGCCTGTCTCGGGTGACATCATGTCTAGACGTGATATCCACTCCCTCACTCATCGCCTCACTGCATCCAAACAACCATGAACATCAATTCGACTGGGACAACCGAACCAGCGTTCAAATATTAGACGAAGGAAACGACAAGAATGCTAGAGAATTTTTAGAAGCCTGTCTGTCTGGTATTCCCCTGAATCATCAATCAATAGACACATAGAGATAGACAAAATCTACCAACCGATAAGAAAGAAATCCCACACACATGCAAAGGGTCAAAGTTCAAGTCAAAGAAACAATCAGTTCCAATACAATTAGCGGCCTAGAAGGGGTGTGAAAACACACAAAAGTAACCAATCACGTCCAAGGTCACCAGGAGAGATGACTGATAAACTCGTGGGGAAATCTAAAAGTTCGCTTTAATTCAAATTGAAGTATCCGGTGAAGGAAGGAATATGTCGCCTGCCTAGTAGGGTGATGAAAGCTTCGCAAATTAACTATCCAGCTGGCTCAGAGAACACAACGACATCAAAATCATTCATCCACCTGAGCTACATATCTTCTCTATCATATCTGAACAATGATTCTGGACAACACCAAACAGTAAGCAATTTGCTTCAACTACTTATAGCATGGAGCATGGAGCGCGGAATCTAATTCTTCTGCAGTAGTAACATTAAAGATATCACTCTCTACTTTACCCTACCTACATTAATTACACCAACGGAATATATGCGCAGAATGGAACTTTGTGACCGAAATAATGAATAGCAGCAAAAACCAAAAGTTTTGTCGCAGTTGACTTAAAGCCTTACTAGCAAACAGTAACAATTTTTCAAGTGCATTAAATTGCTTCCACTTATAACGTTGCTGCTCTAAAACTTCCTCTGCCCGACAGATAGCTTCTACCTTGCAGATCGCGACAACCCAACAAGCTACACTGACTGGAACCAATGTTCTTGCAGGTCCTACCATGCCAGGAAGATTGTTAGGAGAGCGATTAGACTAAAAGTAGTTACCGACATAGTGCAAGAATCTTTGCTACACTATGCTGAGGGTCTGTGGGCGAACTCGTACTGCTGGGGAACAGGGGTGTGTAACAGCCGCAGTGAGGTATTTCCCTCAGATCACCAGCATGCCAGCCAGCCAGCTATGCTGTCTCTCCACTCTGGAGAGACGGGCTTAGAAAAGGTTGATCCCAATAATTGAACATTCCGACTTACCTCACCTACGGTGGTTCTTAATCGGCGTTAAGTTTATTAATAAGGAATCAAACCAAGAAACCAGTTCATACAGGCCATGTTTGACCAGTCTGGCTCAAGCGGTTGTGTCCCCAGGGCTATGCGCTCACGATGTAACACTAACTCTCTCTCTCTGTTTCAGATACCTGAAGAATCAATCAACTTCCACAGTGGTGTGGGCAGCCGGGAAGTAGCAACCGTCCACACACACTTCCAAAAGCATACGAAGCCTTCCTGAGCATCATTCTTCTTCACTTCCTCCTCGGTAATATGCTCGGCATTGAGATACGTCAAACTAGGCAACCTTCAGTTTCATTATAATAACTACACTTACCCCTGAGTATACCCCCCCCCACCGTTATCATGGAATTAATTACCCCTGCGAGCTATTATAGAAACATTTGACCGACTGACTGGTTTCAACATAGAACTACTTTGCATAGATGCGCAGCAGCACTTCGAGTCGCCACACTTCCCCGCCTTGTAGCACGCAAAGATTATTATTTTGATGTGGTTTTGTTCTCTGAGCTGGATGGTTAAAATTCACAAGAGAAGAGGCATCCGAGAACAAAATACCATTTTTGGACGTCTTAGTCAAGCGAACATCCACAGGGGATTTAGAAACTTAAGTTTATAGAAAATCAACTTACACAGACCAAATACTGAATTACAACAGCAACAATCCAATGACACACAAAAGGAATTGCATACAAACACTTTTCAACAGGTTCAGCCAGGACTCATTGCAGCACTCCCACCTTAAGGAAAATTGAAGAAAAATATCTCATGGACGCCAGTCTTCCAAAAGAATGGATATCCACGGAATTTCATCAAAATACATATACCCCCAAGCCAACCTATCAAACCAAAAGTCACCAAGGAAAGCACAAAGAAAATCACCCTACCATATATAAATAATATCTCAAAAATCATTGCAAAAGTCTTCAAATCTTTAGAAATTGACATCGCACACAAACCAACAAAATCACTTCAGTCAGCTGGCTCCATGCCAATCAAAAGACTGAAAAGCGAAAGAAGATAAAACCAACATCATCATCATCGACAAAATAAATTGTAAAAACTGCGAAAAACACTACATTGGCCAAAGAGGACATCCCTGCTCTTCGTCTTCGTATCCACGAA